ATATTGTCAATAGCTTTTGAAATATCTGAGGCGTTTACTTTTTATCAACTCTGGTACTTAGCAAAGTCGAGAATACATTTTGAACGTATGATAATCTCCAATTAGGGTTTATTAAGTGAAAGATATTATGTCAGAAAGAGACAACAAGCTTACAAACTATAAATATAAAACATCGCTATCTCTACCCCATCTAGAGTTGACCTAAAAACTTCGAACTAAATTAAGTAACACTAGTAAGTCGTAACAAACATAGAACTAGACTAGATTTGTCTATAATAAGCTAAAATCGACCATGTAATTTACTAATGTGGAAACCTGCTTAACGTTTTTATACATGACTAATTGTCGCCCGCGACTCTGTCCGCTCAGAACTAAAAAAGTATCTATAAGAAGGATGTGCGTTGTTCTAGGCTATATTCTACGCCAGATTTCATTAAAATTCATGCATCCATTCTGGAAATATTTTCTAACAAACATCCATACATCCATCCATACATCCAAACGTTTGCATTTATAATATTAGCAAGAAATAAGATGTATTTATTATTAACAGCCGGACTATTAAATTATTCAAACTTTAGGCAGATATATAATAATAAACTTATATAAAAACGACTTAAAACTAGTCGGTGCCACCGGACGAACAAACGTGCTTTACTTTCAAACAAATTTTACAATTATGCAAGTTTTTAAATGAGATAAATGACATTTTAAACGTATGCCATCTTCTACTGTAAAGAAGTATATTTAAAATTCATCAGGATAGATTGATTAAATCTTAAAACAGGTTGTCGACTACTGGCTAAAATAAACACAGATGTTGTCTAGACTTGGTCTAATTGGACATGTGTTACAACATATTCCAAGAGTCACATAGCCTGTAGATATTTCCGTAAGAAAACATATACCTTATTTCTAATCAAAATTATATATAATACTTTTTATATTCAGGAAGTTAACATTAAAATTCAACTAACGTACCCGGAATTGATTTGAAATTTCATTGTTATTTGATTGCTAATAATGTACACTAAGTGTTTATTATATAACTGACTGTATGGCAGAAAGTAAAACATAGCGAAAACGGATATAGTTGTTTTCAGATATATTGGGGGATGCGGGTACAGCGTACCACCGAATACGTTAAGCCGCCAAAATATTTGAAAAGAATTATATTACAATAGAAAGGAAATATGAATCATACATTTACTAATGTACAAAAGGTGGATTTGTATTCAAAGAGACATCTCTACATCCGTATTAAAAGCGCATAAATGTCTATTAATATACTATCCACAACGCTGCGGTACTATCACTTATGTTACCGAACGTTTGTGAACTTCGACAGTTTATAATTTTACTAGGCATATTTTAAATTGAGAGCAATTTAGAATTTGACTGCTTATTTTTTTACAGTTTCTAAACTGTCAGAATTTTTGTTAAATATTACATTTTTAATAATAAAATATTAAGTACATTAGATACAAAAATTTCGCTTGTGCCATGTTGCCAGTATAATACGCCTAGTTAGTTTATAATATGGCGGACTTAACAATCGGTCAGTGACATTACTTTCTATCAAGATTCTGTTCACGTGTAGACGCGCCGGAATTTAACAAGGGCGGCATTCTTTACAGTTTTGTTGTTGTGACGTCAGCTATTGTTTGACTCACGGTTTCGATCAACATTCTCGTCCTTGACGACAATAAACTTTGAAACCGTTAAAAAACTAAAGCAAAAAATAGCGTCCAGAAATAATAATTGTATAAGCCAGTCTTTGAGTTGATATAATTTTATGCATTCAGACTGATTTCAGAACGTAAAAATTAATTAAAAATAATTTAAATAAATAAAAGATTTCAGAGATCATTCCTCTTTGGATGGATGTACATTTTTATATTATTTCCAAGATACTAGTCAAATATCTAAGGCAATTCTTCTATCTATATTATAATTAACATATTAATTTTATAAAAATAATGCGCACGAAACATAAATAAAATATTTTAACAATAATACTTTGATATTATAAAGTCATAACTTTGAGAATAACGCCATCTAGGTGAAAGTTTTAAAACTTCAATATTCACTGAAGATACGCGAACCATAGCTTCAGCATATTTTTTTAAATATATCTTTATTCATCTATTAATGACACATAATTCAAGGTAATCTGGATAAGCGAGAGTCCAAGGAACGATTTTTGTCACGAGTATTTCGAGATTATCGCATATGGAGGTAATCAGTCTGGTCAGAACAATGACTTTCGCTTATAGAGGTTTTTCGCTTTACTAAGTTCCACTGTTATTCACTTAATTTTATTAATCTCTATAAAATCGCAAAGCAAAAAAATAACCTTAGTTATAGGCATAGTACTTACATTAGCATGGTTCTCTACAAGGCAGAGGAAGACGACATCCTCCCGCAGCAGACGGACTGCGCCGTGCAGCGGCTGCGGGGTCTTACTCTTCAGCATGCGGTACAGCAGCGCTGATGACATGTGCGCGAAGTCATCTCCTACACACACAATAATAAGTTTTTATATGATTAGATGGCAATGTGCAAGTGGTCTGTAGACATCTGCTTTTAATCAACGGAGGACGGAACACACAAAAAGGAAATATATAGTTCCCCTTCTTATGTGTCCACTGCACTGTTAAATCCAACTTTTCATGTTTTCCTGATAAAAGGGTGGGAAGAGAAAGTGGAATAAAATTGGGCTCAAATTATGGGCATGGAAACTCATCATTCCTTGTGTTCAAGGGCAGGGGTAGCAAACATTAGTGTAACCATATGTCATTTTTCTCAAAAAATATTTAAAGAAGTCATAGATGTGCCATCAAAATATTTTGTAACAATTTAGAATATCCCATAATGTAGGGATTGCTTGTATTGGGTCCTCATGTTATATCTATTTTACATTTTTTATGTAGTACATAATGAATTTTGTGACCAGTAACATAGCTTTAATGTTGTGTCGCATGCTATTGGTTCGATATCCCTGCTCTAGGTAATAGTATTAATTGTATTACATTTCAAAATTAATAAACCATCTTAATTATGTAGTGATATAGAATTTTTATAATATACAATTTCATGGGTTTTCCACTGCGGAAACATGAACATTTCATGTTTTGGCTGTGTAAACCGGTGCTGTTTTGTTTCAATAATGTATTAATTCTGACCTGTGAGATCATCCCAATGTGTAGAGATAAGACCAGAGCAATGTTCCTTCAGAGCTGAGGCCCCAATCTCATCTGCCGCTGAATAGAACTTTACACAGGTCCTGTAATTGCAAAAAGAAATATTTTAATATAACAACAATATTATTATTAAAATATTATGGCTAATTAAAATTAATAAGTAGTATGGTTTAAAAATGTTTTTTTCAATGAATATCTTTTATCTTTACAATTATTGAGAGAAATAATGCCATTGGGCCGATTCAAAGTTAGACCCATTACCAGTAATAAAAAAAAAATATTTATTTACAGTGATAACAATATATGCCTACCTTACGCCCACTGAAGTTATAAGGGCTTGTTCACACTTGCCCACTAAGCCATACAACTTGAAGTTAGCCGCACACTTCATGAGGTGCAATGCAAATGCATCTCCTCTTGTAAGGTCCACAACATCCGTGTACAGCCATTTCAAAAGTGCTGAACCCACATCATCAGGAAGATTGGACCAATCTGAAAATATTAAGTTTAAAAAATTTAAGATAAATCCTTACTAATATATTTACTATTTTAATTAATATTATAAATGCAAAAGAAACACTGTTGTGTGTCTGGCTTTATCACCAAAACTAATACTGTAGCACCAAATTATCTCCGTTTTGTCAAAGATAATGAATTGGATGATGTTGTTTTTTACAGAATTTTTGGTCTCAGAAATCTAAAGTTAGTCCAGTAGGATACAAAAAGTCTTCATGATCCAGGAAAAATATTGAGTATTAATTGATTTACCCACAATTCAACATATTGTATTTTAGCATCCTTTGTCCTTAATAATTACTTTCTATCAAGCTATTATGTTACCTACTAATTTTATTTACTTTAGTAATCTTTGCTAAATTAGTTTAAGAATAGAATTTCTTTAAGCCTTTGATAAAGATATGGAAAACAATAACATGATTTATTGTATTTATTCCACTTACCCAACTCTGTGAGATTCTTAAGTGCAGCTTCATTCCAATCATCAGATCGTGCATTCAAAACAAACTTATGTCCGGGGACAGATTTGCTCTGTAGCTTAATACTTATATCGGAATACGTCTCTCTCCCATATAAAGTGGACACGGTCATGAGTAACCGGGCTACGAAACTAGTTTCACTAAGATCTCCGGCCGATGCTGCCGCAAGTGTATACTTCCTTTCAACTTCAGCACAATGACTTTGTAGCTTACTGTACTCCTCTTTAAGCAGCGCTAAATGCTGCTGAAGCTTTGTCACTTCGCTGGATGCTGGATGATAACAAATAAAGTTAAATTCATAGGATCAACGCCGCCCACCGGTTGTTATTAGTGATATTTTATCCTATTGATACTTACCCATCGTAAGAATCCAAGATCATATACTGTACAATTGAATTGTTTGCTATTTTATATCAATTGGTAAAATAAAAATAATAAATTGGCTAATACAATAAACGGAAAATGACAATTTTATACAAGACTTGACAAACTGTCATAGACAGTGAAAACAGTAGTGTTGTGCTGAAATGTGTAAGAATTAGCAAATTGAGTACAAATTCCCTTTTATTCCGGAAACAGGAACTCTAGAAAAACAGCTAAGTGTTTTAAAATAGCTTTTTGCTAAGATTTGCTTTTAGAAGAATTATAAAACATGTATTCAAAAAATACATTCCTTAGAACATCGAATCCTTTGTCTTTATCAACTGTCAACCATGTTATCAATTTGAGTTTGAGGCCAACTTCAATAGATGTCGCTTTTTTACCGAATCTATTTTCAAGATAACCTTCAAGTGATTTTGTCAAATGAATTGATAACAAGCAAGTATCAGCCGCTTCCAAGTAATTGGTTGTTAAAAGTTTTTCATTATATTTATTCGACCTACTGACACGACAAAAATGAAGTCTATAAACAAAATTTTGAATATTTGTTCGACTCTTCCAAAGAATACAAGGTAAACAAGTATTTAATACATTGTTATTTATTTGTGTTGGCTGAAATTTAAATTTGGAATACTTAATGTAATGTTATTTTAAGGTTGATTTCGACAACAAGTAGTAATCTCAACGCCGATGATGGATGGTTTTCGAAATTGCTGGTGCGTAGGATAGAACCGACGAAAGAGTCGCACAGTCGTATGCTTAGCGACAAGGAAATTGTATACGCACTCCATACTCATAATATCAGACCCGACTCCGTCGATAAATACCTGAAAAATTAGTAAGTATAACGTATATGCATCACAGGTCGCTGTCGGCGGCAAACACTCGCCGGAATGTTTGTGATTATGCAACAATCTCTAAATAGAACAAACATTAGCATTTTGAGTTAGCTGTCAAACATTGGTGCAGTAACAAGTAAGAAAAGTTCAGAGAAACTTTATTTGTGCAGATACTAATCTTTGGACTTTGTTGCACCCTTAGGAAAATAGCTAAATTATTTCATTATTGAAAGTACATCAAACACTCCTTTCAGCAACATCCACTCATGTTAAAAGACCTTTCCCAAGATAATAAGAAAACCAATATAATACATATCTTTTATAGGCACTAAACTGATTGCATGTTTCTATTTTGCAGTAAAACATCAGTAGAGTTTGTGGAATCAAGGAAAGCAGACCTAGGCTGTGAGCTGGTGGGATCATGGACAGTGTCAGTTGGAGATATGGACCAAGCGTTACATCTATGGCGTTATGTTGGTGGCTTCGAAAAAATCGACAAAGCTAAGATTTTATTTAGGGAAAATCCAGTAAGTGATATTAATTATCTGTTTTGGTAATTGGAATATAGGATCTGTATAATAATTCCTTTATCATTGTTTGTTAAAGTGAAAAAACTTTATATTTTAATGTTTTCTATATGTTGTAGGATTTTAAATGGTTTGTTGAGTTCCAAATTTTTTAAATGAACAAATATCGAATACTGGATTGAACCATAGTGTATTTTGTATTAAAATAGCATTTTATACATAAAATGAAAATCACTTCCAATGGGTGATGATAGTCAGAGGTTAACATATTTAGTTGCCTAAAATAAATAAATGAACTTATCAGTCATGATGTAACAATAATGAAATACAATATGATAAGATTAAACTACTAATAAATATTACCAAAGTTATAAAGTGTAAATGAGTTTGTATTTTTAAATACTATTAAATTTTTCATATTGTTTTGGTTGAAATTATACATGTTTATATTTGGGTTTGAGTTCAAAAAAAAATTAAACACATTCAACATTACAGCATCCTATACATCCCCTTGGAGCCCTTGGCTTGGAGCCTCCCTAAGTAAGGGGTACAAGTATGAGTTGATTTCACACATATCTTTGAATTTCTTCACAGATATGTGCAGGTTGCATCACAATGTATTCCTTCCCCATAATCGTTCACTTTGGACAAACATACATATGTAATCAAAAAACACATTGGTACATGGCGAGATTCGAACCCAATGTCAGTAAATCTACACTATGATCATTATTTATTTATTTGTATTCCTTCAGGATTACCGTGCGTTAGAAAAGGAGCGTGGTAACTTCGTGCGGTCTAGACACTTGCAGTACTTGCTTGCATTCAGTTTCTGGCCCAATGGCGAGCCTCGTCAGCCCAACAACATCTATGAGATTAGATCATACAGGTATAGTAGTACTTGAGTTAGCACATTGAACATAACAATATTTGTATGTTAGATTAATGCACATTTTTTATATTGTCATCCTTCTTTCTCTTTTGGAAAATAAGAGACAACAATACCAAATGTCACATCAGTAGAATTACACCGTAGTTATGCAACAATTACACACCATTACTTAGGGTAAAATGAAATGATTTTTGATTGTAAAAGTTGTTATTATGTTCTATATCAGTTTGAAGCCGGGCACAATGATAGAGTGGGGCAACAACTGGGCGCGCGGGCTGACATACCGCCGCGCCCAAAACGAGGCCTTCGCAGGATACTTCTCGCAGATCGGACGCCTCTACAATGTTCATCACATTTGGTGTAAGTTACCCAAACTGATATTTTACCTTAGAGGACAAAACGTATTTTGACTATAACGCTCAGTTTTGCAATAAATCTACACTAAAAGACATTTAAAGATTTAATTGACTGAGTGTGTCTGTGTTTACTATTTTACAGTCGAGGACGTTTATTTCCTACCCATTTCAGTTTTTGTGCTAAATTATAGGTCATTTAGTAACAGTTTACTTTATACATTCGATCTTATATAGTGACTATATTCCTTTGCTAAATTTACCTGTTTAATTTGTCATATTGTTTCCAGGTTACAAGAACTTGCAGGCGCGTCGTGAGACTCGCGAGAGCACGTGGCGCAATCCGGGCTGGGACGAATGTGTTGCATACACCGTGCCTCTCATACGCGAGATGCATTGCCGCATCCTCGAGCCCACTGAGTTCTCCCCCACGCAGTAAACGAGCAATGTACCACGTGAATATTAGCCCTTTGCATACATATCTAAAAAGTGATAAAGATTCAATTGATATTGCAATAATAGAGAACATGGTTTGAAGTAGGATTAACTTATTTACATTTTACATAATTCTTTCCTTTTCTTTATATAATTCTATTTACTTGTGTTATTTATGTCTGCAGTTTTGTCTCTTGTAGCAAAGGGTTAATAATTATACATTGAGTATAGAAAAAAGTTTAAAGTTCATCATCCGTGAATACTATTTGAAGCCGATAACGATTTCACTTTGTCACAGTCTAAAAATAATCTAGCAATAGTCTAGTGACCAATAGAATACAAAGTGCCTAGATTTAACTATTCTAGCAGTTAACTACCGTCCTGCCCCTAAGAGTAGTCTGCTAGAAATATTTTTTTTAGTACTTGTTTCAGTTATATTTTATGTATTAAAAATAGTTGTTGAACATGTTTATGAAAAATCACTTTAAAATTAATTTATATCTTGGCTTATGGTATAAAAATGTTGTGTGAAATTCTTCACAATTTTTTTTATACAATATATGCAATTTATCTTAATAACTAGTGAAATCGTTACTGGTTATATAAATATCATAAAAATGAAAAAGTTTTGCTTAAAAAAAAAAGTTTTTGAAAACTGCCAATAACAATGTGGCTTTTAATGTACAAAGTTTGCAACAAAGGTGCATTTTATAACAACCTTTTTTGTTGTGATCGTAACTTTGTTTTTTTATTGAGTAATCATATATGCAGCTTAGAATATTTGCACTTGCAATTAGACCTTTTTTTTTAAATTTCTTTTTAGCATTTAAGTGTAATGAAATTTAATAATAATGTTTTCTTATTTAAAAATATATTAAAGAAAATTGGCATATTTTTTATTCTTATTATCATTAGCGCATGCTATGTAGTTATTAAGAGATAGCGTCTAAAAAAAAAACTATGTTATTTTTTGTACGAACTATATGCGAATCATTCACCAGATTTTACTATGTTCTGTTGAAAATAATAAATTAGATTTTTCAAACAGTTAAAATCATTGTTTTATTTCCTATATACTAATGGACTGTTAAAATAATTACACGTCAATGTTTCCTTTCTATTTATTTATTTCCTCCAGTTTGATTCTTTTCATTAATAAGATTATATTACAATATAATAATTAAAGATAATAATTATTAAAACTACCAAGTCGATTGTGTTATTTAAATATATAACAAAAAAAAATAAAAAGAAAACAACAACGGTGCAGTGTTGCGTCTCCCCTCCCCCCCCCCCCTCTAACACACAGACAGACCGCACGCGCATATAATCTATACAATGGTAAAATATAAAAATTATTTTTAGTTACAATGTACAATAATACGTGACCTTTAACTACAAGTTTGGTACTTCTATAGTAAAAATACAATACAACCCATGCCAGGAAAAAGTTACATCTTTCAAAAGATTCAAGAGATGTAACTATTTTCATTGAAGATAGGTCGATTTGCTGATGTGCCGTTACTCATACTAATACTAAGAGCGAGTGGTGGGAAACTGGAACGGGAAATGTCTCTAACATTGATATTAATCCGTCGTACGAAAAAAGTCACATCCATTTCGAGATGAGAGATGTAACTTTTTTCGTGAGATGGATCAATTATGTATATCAATTACTCTCTATCTAACACTCGGTTCATACGGCACTACATCTGTTTGGCAATGAGTTTTCACTCCCGAATCGACTCTATAAAAACAAATTCTGTATTACTCCAAAACATATATAGTTAAACACGTTCAACCCTTTCACCGCCGTTGATTCACATTTTACATAAAGGAGGTTATAAAAGAGTATTTTATCTCACATATGTATCATCAAAATTACTTCCGGACAGTCACATTTCCGAAGCATATGTCATATTTCAATAATCAAAATATCTGGTAATCTAAAAATCAGCGTGCGATAAAAGTTTAGACATATGTTTACCCTAAAATGTAATTTTAAACAAAATCTAAGTTTTTGTATGTTTAGGCCCATATTTTTAATCGCACTTCAAGGAGTATGAAAAGAATGACGCCCAGAGAGATTCGGCAATGAATAACCACAGATACAAATCAACAGAATTTATAAATTACAAAATTTAGACTAAACAAAGCGTTATTATTAAAATTGCAAATTACGGAGCATATACAAAGATTAAAAAAGCATATCTTTATTTTATAGATTCATCCAGTTTAGAACTGTTTTTGTAATTTCCGACTATAAGACACAATTTTAACATTTCACGATATCTCCAGAGTTCAAGTTGCTATAGGGATCGCAAACCTTCGTTAGAAGATGGCACTAAACTAAACGGTTATAAAAGTTTAAAAAAAAAAGTCTATTAAATACCATGGTGAAATCTGAAGGGTTAAGAATCTACCCTAAGTTAGGGGTGTCTTGGCTATAGTTACACATGGGGACATGATCATAGATAATGATACAAACAGACAGACTATTCATCTGTATATAAACTCCGTAATTTATATGTGTATGTCGGAGCAGCATTCAATACCTTCGCAAGCTATATTACAGCACACTTCAATTCCTTAGTGCCATAGCCCGAACACCAAACAAAGCAGTCGGTGGATTTGCAAAACTCTGTAAAAATGGCTTTAAATTATTTTTATTACATACACGTGAGACTAAACACATACTTGGAAATTATATAGAAAAGCCTCAGTAAATGTTCTAGCGTGATTTATCTAAATAAACTTTGACTACGGATTTAAATGTAACCAATTTGTTAAAGTTACTGTTGTTAAATGTTCTTATAATAAAGTCAATCCTATGTCGTATATAACGACAGTCCCGCCATCTACCGTCTGTCAACACACGGCTAAAGTCATACCGTATTGTTTATTGTCAATTTCTTGGTCAGTCGAGGGCAGGACCAGATTCGAATTAATACTCAACAATATCAAACATATCGCGCCATTTCACTTTATAACCGTTTCCACTGTCGAAACATATTGCTATATCACCCTAGAATTAATTACGAAGACATTTATATTTATATTGTCATCCCTTACATTATCTTTAAATAAAAAGAGACAACATAGTGTTAGTAATTTTCGAAACCTCTGTTGAAGTATTTTTTTTTCAAGAACGACTGGGATGTTTGTTTCGCCAGTGGAAGCCCGCGGTTAAATCTTCGATGGAACAATCGAACCTACGTTTGTAAAGCGAATGCTCGCTCCGTCTTCAACACAAAAAAACCTGTTAAATTTTATGTCAACATTTTTTATATAATTTTACATCTAAATTATCTTACGTGACAAAATTTTAAAATTACACATTAAACCACACACAGACTCAAATAATACAAAAAAAATGATCACGTCATGTGATGCTTAAAGTGTGATATAGGAAGAGTACGGTTAATAAAAAAAATATTATTATTCCTTTTTTAATAATAGCATTAACTAAATTTGGATAATTATGACTAAAATCGGGCGTTAAATTAAATAATATGCAATCGTCTATACATACATGACTGGTAAGCCTAGTAGAACATAGATAGTGTATTACAAGACTAAATAAAGAGAGGAGCAAACACCGCGCTCGCACCTCACCAAACAAACTATGTGTTGTTAATTATACATTAGCATCGTTATATACAGGCGGCAGCGCGCGCCTCGCTCATACCTAACATATATAATTTATTATATTTACAAAACATAATAGGCAGTCAAGTTATAAAATATTACAGCACCTGATTCTTGTAAAATTTAATAAAGCGTGTTAGTCGTTTATATATAAAAAAAGATGGCCGCCGACGCTCGAGTCGCGTGCGTCGCGCCCTTACAAATTAATCAGACGAACGCAACTAGGCCAATAAACAAACACCGTCACTCCGCCGGCAACGGTTACAAAAACTTATAATAAAATTGTTCCTAAAATAAACTAATGATATGAATATTAGAATTTTGACTATCTAAATTATGTTAAAAGATAGCGTAGGTGAGTGCGGCGAGACGCGCGCGGGAGGCGGCATCGCCTCGCTAAAGATAGTTTCACACGAGGACAAAACGAAAGTAGTGCAGTACACATATCAGTACTACTACTGTTGTCAATAGTAGTACTGCAGTACTATACTGTCTCATTGTGCTCCGTGTGAAAATAGCATTACTAGTGGCTTACAGTGTACACTGCTGGACAAAATAATTGTCCTCCGCCACGAGGCGTTACAATAGACTTACGGTACAACTACTTTATAATACAAGAATAGATCAAGAGTACTACATTCTTTAGGTTGAACCAGCGCCTACTGCAGTCCGCAACGACGACCTTATACGTCATAAACTATGTAATTTAAAAAAAAAATAAGTTTTAATTAGTAATCATAATTTGAAACAAGATCTTTACAGAATTTAAGAAATTTATAGTAATTATTTTACAAATTATAATATTTAATATTGGATGTATTATTTTCAATTATAATTAAGTTACAAAAAGTATTAAAATTTCACTACAACTTAATCCAAATCATCTGTATATTTATAATAATGTTGCCGACAAGTCGACGTTGCGGATTGCGCGCTTGAAAATCCTAATAAAAAGCATTTTACTCATTGTACAACACCACGTGTCGTCCATACAAACATATCCTGTGTGCAAAGTAAACTTATCAAGCGTTATATTGATAAAGCTATACTGTTTGTAAACTCTCAGATACTACAAACACACTTATTCATTTAAGAGATAATTGGAGTGCATTAAACTTAGTATAGGAAACGCCCCCTCCCTTCGGCTAAATACTGACGTACATTTTTTGCATACATTTTGGAAGACAACGAAAAATATAATAAAAAAGCCTAAAGTAAATATGTTTTTATAAAGCAAAGAATTGGGAGGGCCGCACAGTCTCATCATCTGCCGCTATCAGCCCCCTGACCACTACTCACAAGACGTACCCATTGGAAATAATAGAGTTCTTATCTGAGACATAAAATTACGCAAAAGTGTAATAAATTAATATCAAAATTTAATGTCGCAACTTGCATCAATGTCTAACACGATCTGACACTACCACACTCAGTCATTTTACAATCACTAAGGCAAATTAAATTTAGTCAGAGAAATCTACATTAAGAGACTTAAAATGTAGCAGTAAGACTTCGTCGGCGTGTAAACGAGTTACACGTGGTTGAGGTGAGAGGTGACGTCATAGCGTGCGTGTTGGGGGCTGATAGTTCGGCGTTAGAGCGAGCCGGCGGGGAAGCTGGCGGAGGAGTTGCTGTGGGCAAGGGACAGCATGGAGCCCGACAGCGACTGCTCCTCCTCGCCGTAACCCTCCCGGCTGCCCTCAGCGATCGCCATCGCACTGAAACAGAAAATTAATTATGATTTACTGATGCTACGAAAAGAGTTACATTTTTAAGAACTCTCTGTGTAGTGGGTCGGCATGTATATGTGTATGTTGGCGTGAGTGTGTGTTTGTGGATGTGTGTGTGGGGAGAAGTGTACCTGAAGCCGAGACGCGCGCTTTCGTTATCAAAGTGCGCGAGCTCCTGCTCATGACGCTCATGCATCAGCCGCGTGCGCTCCGCACGCTCCGCCATGAACTGTGCGCACTCCGACTCCATCTGGAAACATCAATACATTTCTATTAGTGGTGTGTAAATCAGTTCTGAACCGGTTCAAAAGTTCAAGGCACATGAACTTGAACCGTTGATCTGGAGCTCAATGCGTTAATTGTTTGAGCTGAAAAATCACCAAGCAAATAATTTAAACTTGATATTCGGAATAAAAATAAGTATGTTAAAAATTCAGAAGGTTATTGCACATTATTAACATGAATTTGCACTCTTAAAATATTGTTTTTTTTCTCTTTTTTTTCACAGTATAATATGTATATGTATATGTTTGAATGTATAATATGTATATGTTTGAATATAAGTTCATAGTTATTTGATACACGTTACCTTCTGTTCGAGCAGCGCGCGACGCACGGCTACCCGCTCCTCGAGTTCACGACGCTCGCGGTTGCGCTGCGCCTCAGCCTGCATCTTGCTCTTGCTCTGGTACGCAGTCAGCATATCCAGCTCGTGCTCCAGCTGCATCTTCTTCTGCTGGCACTCCATCTGCACATCAATTTATCAATTTTTAAACAAAAAAACAAGGTTTTTTAACCTGCTAATGCTAGATTACATTAGGCTTTATACGCACATTGGTTAGTGTGAAAGAATTTCTGGTATCGGTTGCATCATTTCGACTTGCATTGGACACAAGATAAATTTTAATAATGTTACTAATATTACAAATGCGAAAGTTTAGACCTCGAAGGATAAAATTTTAAACAGTTGTAGATAGCAGCTTCAAATACCCAATAACATACTTAAGAGTTTTTTAAATTCCACGCAGGAGACCGGCGGCGTAATTATTAGCTCTTGGAACTAAGAATATAAAGTTTTTAGGTTAAGTTGTAATATATTTGTGATGGTTAGCTCACCATCTGGCTCTCGTCGAGCTTAATGGTCTGCTTCTGCAGCATATCTGTGATGCTGAGGTCGTACTGCTCGCCCAGCTTCACCAACTTGCGTCGCTTCTCGTCCTTCAGGGCCTTGATTACTTCCTTCTGTTGCTCCTGCACAAAATAAGGCGTATACATTACAAGGTTATTCTATCTACATACCGTAAACTACCGTAGAAATGTCTTAAAAACTTAGCTTTGTCTTTGTTTTAATAAAGAGAATGAAAGGGGTGGCAATCTTACTAATATTATAAATTAGAACACATAGGCTACTTACAATTTTTCTTTTAATTCCGCGGATGAAGTCGCGGGCGACAGCAGTAGTGTTTTAATAAAAGTGTTCATAAATTACAGTTGTAGTTACCTTAGGGGTCATTTGCAATATTTGCGCCTTCAATGCCTTATATTGACGCGTCTGTATCTTGCACGTCTCACGGAACTGCTTGCGAATCTGCATCTCTTTTTGCTGTCGAATAACAACATAATATATTAATAAAATAATAAACATAGTTTATAGATTCCTTAAATATTTCATACATGTTGAAAATATTTGAAACAGGTGTAATCATAGCTTTGGTGGGTTAACAACACTTTTTTCTACAAGGTTACTACGACAACCGTTTTGCGCAACAAATTGAGTTTTGGCCTCTGGCAATGACAGTCTTAAAAAATCCGATGCTGACACATATTCTGGTCAAATTTAAATTAAATATTTCATATTAAAGTAATCAGGGTACATAGTAACCTTGAGACTCTTGGGCTGCTGCTTGAGCTGCAGCGCGTGCTTCTTGCGCAGGTCGTGCTCCTGCCGCTGCATGTAGTCGCGCTGGTTGGCCAACTCCGTCGCGTGCTGATTGGCCAGCTGCTCCTCTCTGCAATGACCACACATTAATTACTATACGTAATACAGACAACCAAGTCGGTAGACGTTTGACAACTGCTATCACTAGATACAACATAGTATTTTATGAGATTACTTTTGTATTAAACTCTCTTGAAACAATAATAAATTTTCTATTCTAGTTGTTTTTTGTCACTGTACACTGTTTCAAATCACGTCTAAAACTTTGTGTATGTCCGTTGTATAGTGACATATCTGTTAACAAGTCGACACGAGCATTTGGAACTGATTATTCAATATATGGCTGGGTCACCTTAGCGCGTGCACACCCTTCTGCTGCCTGTACTCCAACTCCTGCGTCTTCTCGTGGTGACGCAACAGCATCGCGTGCGCCTGCTCGAGCTGCTGCTGACGCTTGTTTAGCTCCTGAAGATTAAACACGTATATTAGACTTTTGAAACATTAATTATGACAAAATTACATTTGCTGCTACGTATAGAAAATGTAATTTGTATACTTACATTAAAGCGCTCAATTTGTTTGAAAAAATTTAAAACAGAGATACACGTCTAGAAAAGCGGATAGGCTACTTAGTTTTTTAAACCAAACGGACAAAATCGCGTGCGCCCACTAGAGCTTTATAAGTAAAATAGTTTTGAGTGTTCCACCTCTCTAAGCAGCTCCTGTTCCTTGTGGTGGGTTGCGAGCATGCGACGACGACGGAAGCGTCGCAGCTCCAGCTCGAGGTACTCGCGTTGCGACCGCACCAGCCGCGCCTGCTCCGCTTCCTCTGCTTGCTTCAAGTTATCTTTTTGCGACCTGATACACAACACAATTACATAAATAGAAAACGACTGTATGATGATAGTTACTTGTCTTGTCTTTGCATTTGCAAAGGTTGTTTCAAAACGGTGATTCCGTAACTTACGGGGACCCATAATAATGAAAAACAGTGGGAATTTTAAGACAAGTGGAAGTATTAAACTATTTCAAATAATGAAACTCGCGTTGCAACTATTCAATTTGCTTCATTAATAAACTAGCAAAAACAATAAAATGGTCTCCATTTATGATAAATTGTTTTGTAAAGAATGTAACATACTGTAGCGTGGCGTCTCTCTGCCGTTTTGGCGTTGCGTCATCCATACTGAGCTCCTTTTTCCAGCGTTCCTTGTTGGCCTTGTACTCGCGCTTGCGTTGAGCCTCGAACGACTTCCGCTCCTGTTCCTGCCGCGACGTTATATCTTTAATCAATTTCTTCTCAGCGGCCGCGTTCGATTTCTGCTTGCGTTCCAACTCTTGAGCGTGCTTCGTCTGAAAATGTGAATTTATCATTTAAAAAAAAAAACATAAAAGTACAAGTAATAGTGTAAAATAATTATATTAGCAAATTTGTCAGCCCAGCTAACAGAGCTAGCTTGCCAGACCACACACAGTACACATGTGGCTGGTGTATGTGTACCTGGAGTCGCTCGAGGTCTCGCGATAGTTGCTGCAGCAGGGCGTCGTACTCGCGGTCGAGCTGCGCTTTGTGCGCCTCAACGTCCGCCTTGCACCGCTCCTCCAGCTTGACTAACGCCGCCTGGTGCTCGCGCCGCATGCGCTTGTAACCGGACATCTGTTCGTGTGTCTCCTGCACATAAATACAATACGGTTATACAAGATAAAGTAATAAGAATAAACATAAAATATTATTCACTAAAGGAAGAAGTGGAAGGCTGAGAATACTACATCCACCAAAACCATAATGAAGATGTCTCAGAATTAAGGTCTTTCACTACGAATTTTATTGTTTTAAAAGTCGTTTCTGGGTTATGTCTATGTCACTAAAGTGACAGTCTAACCAATATTAATACCGTCCAGATATCTATATTATTTTATTATACTTGTTTAGAATGATTACATAACTTACATGGTTGTGTTCCTTCTGTTGCTTGGTGACAATGCTGGTTGTCCGTATCGTGGCGAAGTTGTTGGCACCGTGCTCCGACACCAGGGATATGGCTACAGACACATTGTTGCTAACACCTACAAACAAAAGTAAAGTCAGACTTTTTTTAAATTCATAACTGCTAAACACATTACTCAAATCTTAACATTGCGTTTCCAAATTTAACACAAACATATGGTTATCCCTGTTTTGTCAAGGAGAATGGAAATGATGTCAATTTATACATATTGAAAAACATTCCGAATCACCAACTATTTTTGGTGTCTATATGTGTATCCACATGGCCGCGTTTATTCCGGGAACTCTCCGGAACGGCTGGACTGATTTTAACGGCAAGGTAGATGATGCACCCGGGCATATTATAAGCTCCTTCTTTTAATCTCTAATATGTTAATTATATTATCTCACCTCTACTGGTAGAACGTCGCTGTGTATTTCTATTATCATCCCCGCTATCCTGCTGCCAGGTGGAGGGAGCATTCACGTACTCCCTATATTCGTTAGCCTGCCGCTCCCTCTCCCTCTCACGTTGAGCTTCCCGGATAGCATCTCTGTTCGCGTAGTCTTCACTATAGTCGTCGCATAGAGAATCTCTATTCGCGTAGTCACGTAGCGCGTCTCTGTTGACGTAGTCGTCGTGCGGCGCCGGTAGGGGGCTCTCGCTCTCTCTGCGTACGAAACACCAACATGAGTAAAGCCAGTGCTTGCCTCTGAAAGGGAAGGGTGCGCTCTAATGCGAGTGTAGTGGTATGGTGATAGCGTTGTAGGTTATAAAGCACGGATATGGTATGTGTTAGAAGCGACATACAAAGCGGTAACACGTATCATGAAGACACTACATTTTAATAGTTTAAGTTTATAATGTTAGGACTGATATGGTTTTCAACGAAAAAGAAATTGAGTATAAGACAAACAAAACATAAAGAAAATTAATTATGTAATTAAAAATCGACAATGCAAAAAATGTTCATCATACCTGGCAGAATGTGTGGAGTGTTGGTGATTGAACTGCTGATACTGGGGTTGTTGTTGATGTTGGCCATGATGGTTGGCGTTGAGCTGGAAAAATTATAATGCAATAAAAATTAATTAAAAATACATTTTACTTCTACTTAAATCAAATCTTACGACCATCACTGTGGGAGTAAGTATAGTATTCAAACTTTACGGCGGCTTATATTTTTTTATACGAATGGCCCAGTCGACCACAGTAATACTACAACCACACAGAAGACAGGCGTCAAGTGGAAATATTTGGTAGTTTGGTCTGACGAGTGCATGCCGAAGGCCAAATTCTGGGTCTCTTTAAGTTTTAAAACCTCTGAAGCATCTTCGATTAGAAACATTGTTAGGTATCGGTGATATGGAATGAACCTCACATAGCACTACATGTGCTTTCCTCCACCCTCAAGGGGAAACAAGCCGTCATAAAGTTTGTATATAATATTACAATGTGCTGTACAATGTTGACGGGATGCGGTCTGCGGCGCAGGCTGCCGGAGGAGGAGCTCTGGCTGGAGGCGCCGGCGACGCTGTGCTCCGACGTCGCCGAGTTCGACTTGGAGCTGTCCCCGCCAGAACGCTCTTCCGCTGTTTCCTCACTGTCGCCTATACAACATAAATACATTATATAAATTCTTAAAAAAACTAAACATTAAAATTGCAAACACATACGAAAAAGACAAATATTAATGAGAATAACATGAAAATGGCAATACTATTAATAAATTTACCCAAATGGGTTTAGTATTAGATGTTTCCCGAACAATATAATTTGTCATTTTGTTTCGTTTAATTTTACCACATAACTATAAAATGGGTGGATGGATCTGGTTTGGGATCTATGCACTATAGACTATTAAGTTTTTTTAACGAGGTGGACAGATCGATTCCATACATACCGAAAGCGCTTTCATTATCAGCATCAACCATGAGTATCTTCTTCATTTTCCTATAGCTGAGGTTGTCAAGGTCGCGCACTGCGGCCTTGGTGCGCTGGATGAGGTCGACCAGCACGTTGGGTGAGCGCGGCCGCGTGATGTACGGGTGAGTAAGCAGCTTGGTGGACGATGGCCGGTCCTGGGGGTTCTTCTGCAGGCACGCCTCCACGAAGTAACGAAACGTATCCGTCCATTCCGGCGCCTGGAATTGTTTATAAATATTTGTTGTTTTAAAAACAATTAACTATTCTAAAATAATGGTATCTACTCAACATCGACAAACTACCTTATAGCCATGAATTTGCAACCACTTAAGATATTCACAAGATTGCCAAATAACACTTAAGAGAAAATTGTTGTATTTTTTATTTATTATGGTTTAATCAAAATTAATCTTTTCAATTAAAATGTTCTCCTAGACTTACTTGTAATGTTGGAGAATCATTCTGTGCAATGTGATACAGCGCGGACATCGCGTTCATATTGAAGTATGGCGGCTTGCGCTCCGCCAACTCAATACACGTGATGCCCAGAGACCACACATCCACCTGAAAACATTTTACGTGTGCCATATACTAAAGTAAATAAGCTATCATTAACAAGACCCAAAAGTGAACCTATTAAAAGTTCCAATCAATACAAACTTGAAAAACAGAATTACCTAAGAACATTACTTCATTGAAGGCTTGATGTTCCAATGACATTTATTCTATTATTAGGCAAACTTACCTTTCCATCATACTGTCCTTCATCCATAGCCAAAATGACCTCCGGAGCCATCCAGTACGGTGTTCCAACGAAGCTGTTAGCCGGGCATTTAATACTGGCGCTGCCGAAGTCTGCCAACTTGACTGTTCCATTCTCCGTTAGCAAGATATTGCCCGCCTTGATGTCCCGATGAATCCTACCCAGACTATGCAAGTAAGACAGGCCGCAGACCACGCCCTCACATATAGCAGCTATTTCCTCTTCACGCAACGGACGTTTGTGGACCTGCAGAGAGACCTGAACTGAACATACATTGAAATTCATCATTCAATATTATTTTTGTTAATTAAAACTGGTCGCCGTCTGCAATATCAACCAGTTTGATTAACTTACCAAATATATATCTTCATCCTTGTAAACAAACACAAAGAAAAGTTTACGTTTTTATTTCAAAAACGATAAATGCATTAGAAAGGACAAGAGACACCGCATAATATGACATCTGTTAACTAATCGGTTACAACCAAGTATAGTAGATCCCGGCTGAACGCCATATCACTGACTTATCGACTTAATATTGCCTACACCTTTTATAAATAGTTATAAGTTATGTATCAGAGTGTAGCTGGGCTACCGCCCAGGGCGCCCAGCAAAACCGAGCCAACGCAGGCGCCAGAGTCGCATTTAAATGGCCGCCTGCGGTGCCACCTCAGATACCCTATCTTTGAAAGATTTCCCAGGACACCAAAAAAGGTGTGTATCAGAGTTTATTAACATCAAACAAAATGTTTGGTTATACATAGATATGAACTTTGTTAGACGGTGAAATCATTCTAATCATGTCTACTTTCACTAGCGTGGGATAGCAGAAGTAACAAAGAGAATTTCCTTAAAACGGCTTCAATGAACGTAATTATTTCTCACGGTCATTGCTCGCCCATTCATACCTTGATCGTCAGATACGTAGATATAATTTATTACGAAAAAAAATCTAATATAATCAGGTCTGCTAAATGTTGATAAAATTAATATCATCATCATTCTGTCTTTTTCCTAAAGACAGTCGGGACAGTATGTACTCTTTCAAACATCTCTATCAGCCGTAATATCAGAATTCTCACCTTTTTTAACACGACCAATAATAATAAAATAAAACAGAAACAATTTTCTAACATCTATTATCTCAAGTTCAAGTTTTTAATCATAAATATATACCAAAATTTTTGAAAAAATAATATTTTGCACTTCTATTTCAAGCAGTCGTACTTATAAGAAGGAAAGCATTAAAAACTATTTTAACACAAAATTAGAAACTGTTAACGTGTTATTGGATTTTAAATCGTAACTTTTTTTAGTAAAAAAAACCCTGTTGATAATTCCTTAAGGCATAAGTAATACGAACATCGATTATCAAGTAAGATAAAACTTGTGTGTTGTTTTTGTCACTTTTTAAGTCTGCATCGCCTGACTCACGGGTTTAACGAATTATGTGCATGTCTTTTTTTATTAACGATTCACGTCTGTCGTACCATCTTATAATTGATCTCTAAAATAAAAAATCCGGATATCCTTTATCATTGCTTCAATTTCGTCATACGTGAGAACTTATCATTATTCCTTGTAAATTTAAGTACCGAGAAAAAGCTGATAAAAATAGCTATCTTTCCTACTGATACAATTATACTGAAGTTTATTATGGTATTTAGGAATTGACGATATTTATTGGATTAGTTCCAATCTCGATCGATATGATTGAGTCTATGGTAGACAACAAAGACGCAATAATTAATCGCCTGTCTAATCCAATGTTACTCAAAGTGTCCTCAAAGTCTTTTTGGCCACGAAAAAATAGTTACTAATCATAATAAAATCCAATAAGCGTCTAGAGAAAAATCCGTGAAGAGTTTAAGAATACGTATATGCAAAATTTTAGGACGCGAAAAGAGCGACGCGAGAAAAAAAACTTAGAAATTATTATTTTAGGGCCTAGAATAATCACAACTCGTATCAAGAGATCCGACAAATACTCCTTCCAAAAAGGGTTCAATGTCCAATAAAGTTTTATAACCGCTGTGGTAGTTAGTAGTACAATACATATAACTAAAATGCCCACTATAACCAAGAGAATTAAGTAAAAATAACAAATTCCGATTACGATATTTCCATTACTTATTTTCCATCAATAAAACAAATCATTCTCTAATTTTTCTTCATCATCTTTGTTTAGATTTGCTAATTGAAACTAACATTTAATATCAAGGTATCAAAGAACAAAATGATTATCATTTTTGATCATTTTCTGTACGATGATAACATTTGGTGGATTTCATAGTGAGTTATAAAAATATAATATTACGATCACTGGCAAGTAAAATATTTTAAACAGATATGACAAAGCCTAAAACAATTGTTACACAGATAAGTCATTGATAAATAACACAATAGAATTTATCACTTAATAGTGAAACAATCAGATAACTATGTACCAGTCTCATGTATAACAAATTCATCAATAATAAAAATTTGATGAGTCAAATACACTTTTTGCGTATCCATCAAGTGGCTCATATATATCTTTCCCAGAAATAAATACGTCATAAACATATTTCAGATAAGTCTGTAATACGCACTATGTTTATTATAGTATTGGGTAGATTAACCACTGGTTTCCGCGACCGTTACCTCTGTATAAAACATGTCAACATGTGTCATTATCTTTGACAAAACAGAGACAACAATATATTTTAAACAGGGATTTCGGTCACAGAAACCCATGATCTAAATAAAAATTGTATAAGTAATAAAAATTCTAATCAAAAACTTTGTTAACATCATTTATAATATATTCTCTGAAATAAGTAACTGGCCTAAAATATTATCCACAATAAAAAAAAAAAAAGTTTAAACTAATTCTTAATATTCACTTTCTAATAACAAATTCAAATTTATATCAAAATAATTATAGTAGATATTATGTAATATAAATGTGAAAGTTGAATGGATATATCTTTGATACCATAACTACAGAATGACTGCAAAGATTTTAAAGAGTTTTAGAAGTAGATTGCAGTCTAGAATAGAGCATAGACAATGAGTTTTTTTTTATTTCTTAAGGATAACAGCTAGTAATTAATAAAGTAGTTAGTTACCTCAATGATATCGGAGGCAGAACCAACACAATACTCCATAACAAGCCATGCTGTGTGCTCACGTTTGTAGCAGCCCTTGTATTCTATTGTATTGGGATGTTCCAGTTGCTTTAGAAATCTATAAACAAACATTTTATGTCAAATATTTAATATGTAACAAACATCTATTTAGCAATATCCTGACAGAGCTATTGACAGTTCAACATTTTGCTTTACAGACAAAACAGTAAAATCTCTATATCCATTGTATTTTATATATTCTCATTTCTATAAAAATCATTTATTTACAAAATTAACGAATGTACCAGACTCTAGTATTATAGTGACCACATGCTTTTTCTTTAACAATTTTAGCAATGCATAGTACACATTTTAAAGTGTTAAAATTGTTTATAGTGAATTACTCTAAGATATCAAAGAATAGAAGTGGTATAGAATTAATTAAACAATTTTGGCATATTACAGTTTTTCCTGTATTATATGTGTATTGATAAAAATTCCATTAATTTGTAACAATAAACTGGTAGTGGTTTTAAAAAAAAGAGAAAAAAATGACACTAAATCACTTACTTTATTTCTTTCAATATGTCTTGCCATTTCTCCTCACTCTGTTTCCCTAAGTAAGACATTTTCTTGATGGCAACAATCTCTTTGGTGAGATTGCACCGGGCATAGTAGACTGCACCAAATGAGCCATGGCCAATTTCACGCAAGTCCTCAAATATCTTCTCCGGATCATGTTTACTAAATAGTTCCGCAATGTCTGGGTCCTTAAGACTGCCAGGCCGCGGCATTCTTATCTGAAAACATAACATTGTTATCATTTGAAGTTCTATGAATAATCTTAGTTGTGTGTGATGATGATGTCTTTCACAGTCCGTCCAGGGCAAACTTTGCAATCTCCTAAAGTGTGGAGGTGATTTGTAAATGTAGATGTAAGTCACACTGGTCACACTGTTTCAAGTGTACTTGGGCATAGGTGGAAGCAGACAAAATCAAACATTTGTATTACTAAGCTAGTGTTGCGCATCACTAGCATTCTATAATTTCTAATAAGAAATATTAGGTATACAAAGATTCATTTTTCTATGCTTTACAAAGTATTGTGGTTAAGTTTAGTGGACTTATTTATTTTACATCATATCATAAAGAATATGATTTGATTGGGTGGTAGACAATTATTTAACAAGTTGTTTTGTATTTGATTCTGATTACATAATGCAAATAGTTTAATTTTCGAGTTTTGAAAAAAAATTATGATTTTCATTTGATCCCCTTAGATATTTCCATAGTTATTATGATACTAACCAAAATATGTTTCAGTTTGTATTAGTATTAGATAACACTTAAACAAGTCATTGAAATAATTTATTCTCATCAAGTCTTAGGATATGTGGAAAATTCAGCATTTTTAATTTCTTATTAGATACAAGCAGTAATGCAGAGGTTCAAGTACAACTTTTATTGTAGAGTTTTATGTGAAATACATAGATGGAATCTGAAAAAACATACCGCTTGCGCCAGCTGTGAGCCGGCAGCGTCCGTCAGTTAATTAGAACGCTCCCGCCGTTCCGGGCCATCCTCCGCGCCACTCGCTATCTGAAAACGTCGGAAACGATACCGATAACACTCACCACGCCATACTAATACCATGCACCCTTACAACCACCTTAAGAAAATGTCAAAAACATAAGCAGGGCACAATAAAATATTGACATTCACAATACATCAGTGTTATAATCTAATTAAATGAAGCAGACAGACGTCGCAGCAACCCACCTCTGCATCCACTCTCCTTCACTGTCACATATGTACGCTTCAATTGATCATTAAACTCACGATACAGTTTCACGTCCACTTTAGTCGATAATTATTAACAACACGCCCCTATGAGTCCAAGAATCTAAAATATTGCAAAATACTTGGCACTTACAATACAAAATTTTGCCTCAAAATGGCGTTGAGTTATAGAATGCGAAGATAGCTTTTTGTTTTATAAGGCACTTAGTTTATGTTTTTGCATCACTTTTATTCAACACTTATTATAAATTAAATCACTTTTTATTTATCTCAAAAATTTCTTAACACGTTTTGTCCAAATTTTACTAAATTACTATTTACAACTTTCCCGTACTGATACATATTCTCAGAAACTTCAACTAATGGCGCCCTCTGTTTTCACTTATAGAAACATTTTTTCTTTTTAAAAGATCTAACAGAACTGTCAAACGATTTCGTCTTTCTTCCAGGTGGACTTATTTCAGGGATCTATAAAAAAATAGTTTCATAAATATGAAATGTTTTTGTATAAATGTGCCAAATGATTAAATGTAGTAATTTTACTAAAAATGTAAGAGATAAAAAGTGATAGCGCCCGCAATGACATAGTTTGACGAATGAAGCGGTTCGATCAGTGTGTGACCATGACCACACAGAAGTTAGGCGTAACTGGAAGGTTAATCTGAAGAGTGTGCTCGTCGAAGGCCTAATTGTTCTCTTCCCCTTACAAACCATTTCCTTTAGGGATAGGATGGGAAAAGGAGGAAACGCATACTCTTTTTCTTGCCTTCCTCTGTGGATTAAAAGTGGGCAGCACATCTGCAAATGCAGATATCTATGAGCAACGGCCATTTAGGTATTAGGTAGCTGCTTGTTTATTTGCCATCATTTTATGCAAAAATAATAAAAAAGACAACAACAACAAACATATAATTTTAGAGTTATTCCTTCGTAAATAAAATATATGAACATATCGGACACTCTAAAATGTTATTTTTGTACAAAAATTCAGGATACAGACTTAGTCCCACCATCTGGGATACGTTGTAATTGTGAGTAGGTCCAGTAGGTAGTAGTTTAACAACATTAAATTCTGGTTATCAGTAAAAGAGCAATTTATAAATTATTTCTTTATTAAAAAGAACAAAAGACTATATATATTTTTACACAAGACGATATATTTTTATAAAAGTATAAAACACTCGTTAATAAATTAAACGATTTTGTTATACCTTCCATTCTATTTGAGAAAACGGTGACTACACTATTTTTTGTATCGAACTAGCTGCTCTAGTGACTTGTGTAGCATTTTAATTAGGCAATTATTGTACTTAAACTTATAAAACGTTCACATAAACTTTACACAATCCTATACAAACTTTCTTCAGCTATTCCTTATTGTTATTTTGCACGATTGAGGAAAAAATTTAACAAGCTTATATTATCACATGAATTATGAAAAATTTACTTTAAAATTCAATTTAAAAAAAAAGTTGAAAGTTTCTAGCTGCCAAAAAAGCTGTTTCTATTTCCATACAACTTTACATCACCCCTTTCAACCCTTTTTTCGCATTAAAAAGTAGCCTTTCTTTCACAGGCTCCAAACTGTGTACCAAAGTCCATTTAGATTTCGTTCAGTAGATTGAAGTGCAAGCAAGACAGTGTTAGAGCACTTATAAAATTAGTAAGGATAAACTAGTCTTTGACCATAAACCCACCTGAAACCGTAGTTATTTCTCACTAATCCCACGATTTAAGTGAAAGTGGTTCATCAATTTGTCCTTTTCGGAACGTATTGTAATAATGCATCTTTACTTCCACGGATGGATGTTTACTTATGTTTTCATGCATATCCTTAATTATAGCATGTTCGCTTAATAGTTTTATACCCTGCAAAGCAGCTAAATACCCTACTAAGAAGTCCTCCTTCTCAATAAAACTCTTAAAAATCTCATAGATTACATCGTCTGAAAATAGGCGGAAAACATTAGCAAAAGCTTTCATAAAAAGTGTGTAAATGCGTGGAGAATATGATTTCGTATCTTTCATCAAATACTCTTTGCAAATTTTTCCAACCTCAGGAGCTATTTTTGTGCATGTATCATCCCAAATTTGTGGTTGATATTTGTAGAAGAGTGTTACTAAGTTCGTAGTTAACTGCCACGTTCTTATTAAAATATAGTTTTCGGACAATGGCAACGACTGCTCCAATATTTCTTGAATAACCGTGAACATTTTAACCGGCGGTATAAATTCCTTTCGAATTATACAATGCAAGTCGTCATTTAAATTAATCAATAGCAGTTCAATATTCTCTTTGATGTAATACTTGGATTCTATCTGTTCGTTGCATAATTTTATAGATTTCATCAAAATTGGTGCTAGTACTTCATTATATTTCTTCATTTGTTCCTCTTCACTTCTAGAGCATAAAATAAATGAGGATATAAGCTCAGTCTTATCGCCAGGCTTTATCCTTTCTTTGAAGAATTCATTTTTAACGTAATCATCGATAATTTCGGTCATAAACTCATACGGCATAGATGACACAATTATTTTACTATACATTACTAGAGGTCGAAGATCCCATCGTTCTCCTTCATATTCTTGTTTATTATTTTTAATTAAAGTTTTCAAGTAATTGTAAGATTTAACTAAAAACTTAGCTTTCACGCTTAGAGGTATTTTATTAACCTCATACAATAATCGGTATATCGATTTGTTTTCAAGAAACGTCAGATCATCAATTAACATCTCCAATAGTTCCCAAGTTTGTGTAATATTTAATTCAATCTTTTCATTGCATAAGAGTTTAAAAACGAGTTTAAAGATTTCTGTACGAATCGTGGGATTTTTAGATTCCTTCCACAGAGCATAGCATGATTCTTTTATTTTGTCACATGGTAACTTATTAAATAACAGTCGAAGTCCATGTTTTTGTAAAGAAACTGGAGTATTCAGTATTTGAGATACGGATTCTTGGCACTGTACGGAGCTCACATTATAATAAATTGCACGAACAGAAGACATTGCAAACATAAGATAGTCTCCTTTTGCGTACAAAAAGAGAGTCTCGAAATGAGGATGGGGCCGAGCGTTATGCATATTCTTGGCAAGACATCTCTGAAGATCTAATTCAATTTCATCAATTTTATCAAAATCAACTTTTGGATTAATTGGAGCATGTTTATTTAAAATCATTGTAAGTTCTTCTTTCGGCAACAAGATACAAAGGCCTTGAGTTATTGCATTTTTACCATCGTTTTGATTTAAACGATTTAAATATGCGTTTTTGAAATCCTTGTTAATAGATTCTGGCCAATAAATTCTGACTTTTCGAAGTAAACGTTTAAGAGAAACGTTATTATTAGAGAATATCGATTCTACCTCGTTCTTATACAGGTCTAATAAGTTTGGATCGTGTTTCAATGAATTAATACAAACTTCCTCGGTAGGAGATAAAATAATTGATTCGTTGAACATATGTTTTCTCCAGGATTTTTGCACATTGTATAATGGCGACATGTCCCCATTCCAAACCTTTTCTTGCTTTATTTTTACTAGCTCTTTAATTTTATCAAGTACAAAAGGGTAATCGAGGATATTCTTATTCCAATCCTTTAGTAATATTAATGTATTATTTAGTGAATCAATGCAACGTATAAAATCATCAATTTCATTTAATTCAATACTTTGTACTTCTTTCCAGTTTGTTTCTGATAAGCTTTTGAAAATAATTTCCTTCTCTTTTGTGTTTAATTTGGTTTGAAAACTTTTTAAAGAGTTGAATGTAAATAATTTTGATGTTTTTTCCGGTACGTTTTTGCCGCTTAGAATTTGGTACACCATCAAAGATTCAATGATTGTTTTATCAATATTTTCATCGTTGTAAATATCTAAACTCTCCATTATATTCTGCAACATATTCCATGAATCTTCATCAAAATTGTGCGTCTTGAAATTAGATATAAAATTAACTAGAAAAGTGACTCTTACTTTTCTAGGAGAATTAATATGTTTATCTTGAAAATATTTCAGTAAACACTTTCCGTGTTCTAAATCACCTTTAGCGGAAAGCATTATTGTCTCCAGCATTTCGATTTTACTTTCTTCGTCAGTTTCAGGTCCCATCATACTTTTGATGGATGAAAATGCAAGTTCGAATGGAAAGAATTTATACCAATAATAAAAAGGAGTTCGATATAGCAATTCCCTAATTAGTTTTATAGTTGCCTCTATTTCTTTAGTTTCACTTATGAAAAACTTATTAATAAATTCAATTCGTCTTGATTCCGGCAGTGCACTCAAGAACGGCTCCCAATGTTTTACTTTACTGAAATATTGATTTAAATCGTGGTCTTTGTCTTCATTAAAATTTTTCTTTAGAAATGTGCTTAAATCTTCATTTAAGTACTTTACGAAAGTAGGTCCATCGATATTATAACAATAATGATAGAACTTATCGATTATTCTTTGAGGACATTTCGTCATCAAAAGTTTCGTAGCTCGCTTACCAAAAATGGGCAGTGAAAATATTGATTGCGATTCTAAAATATCTAAGTATTTATCAAGGTTGACATTCAATAAAAATAACGTGCTCTGAGAAACGTTTGGACGTAATTTTCCATCTGCGTATTTTTCTAGAAATATTATCGATTTCTCACAGAGACGTCTCAATATAGGGATTTTAATTTCATTTTTGTATTTACTAAAATTATTTTCTATGAATTCTATCGAACATTTTGGCAGCCATTTTACTGCATCTGAAGATTTTGTTTCATATTTAAAAAATTGTTCTGCCCGTAATTCATCTCTTAATTTAAGTTGTATTAAGTGTTGGAGTTTTAAAACAGCTTTCGTTTGCATTTTCGGATAAAGATTAACATTTAGATATTCAGGATTTATTATATGAGTATATTTTTCATCATTTATTAACCAATCGCAATTCTTCAGTGCTCGATTAACATATAAAAGATCGCTACATGTTAAAGTTTTCAGAATAAATTCCACATTTTTATTCGTATTAGCAACGTCGATATTTAACAAGTTGCTTATATCAGATTCGTTTATGTTAGCTTCGTCAATGTTTAGAGAATGTTGATTGAATTCTTTCACCAATTTATTAAAGTTTTTATGTCTCTCGCCAAGAGTATTTCCGTGGAGCTCTACCGGTGCCATATTGACTCTGCAAGAAAAAAAAGGTACATGTTAAATTTCTATCATAAAATATTCATAACATTTATTTGTAGTTAGTTCCTAATATCTTACTAATATTATAAATACGAATGTTTAAATGGTTGGTTATTTTATTAGTTACTCCGGATCCGATGAACGCATCTATCTGAAATTTGGCATAGATGTAGAACAGTCTGGAAGAACACATATGGTAATACTTAATTTATGTTATTAATTGCTGTAACTGACGTACTGAGGGCGTAAAGGCTTTTGCAGAATATCAGTGTTTTTGCCCCTAGGGGTAATAAACATACAGCTGAGCAAAGGCCCTATCTGTTCTGCATTGCTACGCTTCATTGTAATTTCTTTTTTCTCTTTTTGGTTGTGTTATAAGTGTTGTAATGATTTTGAACGGATTAAATGTCTTATTATTATTATATGCTACTATTTGACTCATTTAAATGCGTGCGGACGGAGTTGTGGGCGACAGCTAGTTTAGTAATGCAATGTTTTTACGATAACCGTGGTCTTACACAGCTAATACAATACTTCGTTACAAGAAGACACTTAGTTTTTAGTGAGAATTAGAGACATCACAATATATTTTTGTGTAGTAAAAAAAGTTGACATGTGACAATAGCATTAAGGTAATGATTGACGCAAAATTAAAATAATAGGGGAGGCGAAGCGGGGATTTTTGGATTTATAATCGAGCGCATTAATACTAACAGATATAATTTACTCATTTCTAACCAGCTAACCCAAAAGCGTGTCTTTTTACGGAGCATTTCATTTGTGGTAGGAATACTATTACTATTTGTTGCAAAACTCCGCTTATCAACTGTCTCGCTTCAGTAAACCTAAAGATCCCCGCTTCGTCTCCCCTACGAAAATGTTCCAGTAAAAAGATTTAATATTATTTCAGAAAAAAAATAACATAATTTAGATTTAGATATTTATTCATTTAAAAAAAAGTTACATGAATATTGTAAAGCTTAAAACATTTTGCTTATTAAGATTCTACAAAAAAAATGGGAAAATAATTTCCCCTAATATTTAAAAAGTTCATTTTAAAATTTATACATATATATCTGCATTTAATATCAAAAATAATAATATTAGGTGCTTATGTATGTATTCGCTTTACTTATAATAAATAACCAATTTTTAAAATATGTCTGTCTGTTCGCAGGGTTATCTCCGAAACGGTTGAACCGATTTTATCTTACAAAATCGTAAGCAACAGCTGAACTGCCACAATTCTATTATAACCTCTAGTACCTACTACATATTTGCATTTTTTTTATATCTAATAAATCTTACTAATATTATTTTATAAATGCGAATGTTTGTATGGATGGATGTTTGAAGGTACCTCGAGAACGGCTGTATGGATCATTGCTACCAATTATGTTTTTTTAAATACCGCGCGGGCGGAGACGCGAGCGACAGCTAGTTAATTACACATTCTTACACTTTCCCGACTATAGTAATGCAACTTCACTTCCTGCGATGGATGTGAACTTATAATGTCCATTATATCACGTGTTGATTCGTAATTATAAAAATGCAATCTCGGTATCAACTCCAAAACTAACAAATAACTTTCCTTTAGGTCAGGACATAAAATTGATTTTAGCAAAAGTCGGCAAGCAGAAAGGCAGTCGGATATACGAAAATATGTACAAATCAAATTAATAGCGTTAACCATACATATGTAAATAGACGGACAATATTTTTTTATATCTTCGCTCAAACATTTCTGTATTTCATCACCTAATTGAGGCAAAGCCATCGATATTACGGTATTATAATAATCACTTAAATTTTCACGATCCATTTCATTCCACGCATTTGACTTTAAGTTAATAATTTCAATAAGTTTATATGAAAATTTCCATGTCCTTAATAATACGTAATTCTCTTCGTCTGGTAAATATTGTTCTATATATTTAAGTATTTTGTTAAAAACAACATTTGGTATTATCATTTGTTTTGCTAGCACAACATGTTGGATATTATAGCATAAAGAAGACAGCGTACGTCCAAATACCTCTCTATAAATATAGTTGTTATACTTCTTAATATCCCAATAAGTAACACACGTTTCCATCATTGGCAAGAAAATCTTGTCGTATCTTTGTATACATTCTTTCATAGTATTGGTAGATAAAATACAAGTAGGAATAAAATCTGTGTCAAATCCCATTGATAATATATCACATTTAAGATTTTCTAATATTATATCTGCTAAAGTTTCCGTATCGACAATCTCTGCGAAGAATTTTGCAGAATAAAGAACTTTTTGAAGATAGGATCTCTGATTGGAACTTGAGGGTAGATGTTTAAAAAATAGAACACTTCGCTTCCAATATTCCGCTTTTACACTAAGCGGTACTTTATTTGCCTTTGTTAATGTATTGTAAATATCAGTATTTTCTGTATCGGTTAAAGATTCAATGAAAAAACCCAATAATGCCCATACAGCTTCAATAGAAGGACCGTCTGTCTGCTTACATAATAATTGGAAGGTAGTTTTAAAGAGATCTGCTCTGATTGACTTATTTTTGGTATTTTCCCAAGCGCTACGGAATAATTTTATGATCTCTTCATATTTCAGTTTATTTATGGCTATTCGAATGACGTGTTTTTTTAATGAAACAGGCGCATCTATGAGTTGTTGTATACATGTCCTTATCTTTGTTTCTTTCATGTTATATAATATTAGGTTTAGTGAAGATACAGCAAACTGCAAATAATCACCTTTGGCATACCATAATATAAACTCAATAGGAGGCTGTGGCCTAGCAATGTGGACGTATTTAGCAATGTTCTTTCTTATATTCAATAATAATTCATCTTCATGCCAATCGATCTTGTTTTCATTTGGAATATATTTCACGACTATTTCTTTTAAATTATTAACAGGCAATAGATACATTAAATTTTTAATTAAAGCCTTATCGCCTCTATTATTAAGGTTGTCAAGACAAAAGGTAATCGCTTCATTTGATAATGATGTAGGCCAATAAATACGAATCTTGTTAAGAAGTTTTTGTAAATTTGTAAAATCGCTACGAGCAAGCAAGTCCATGACATAATTTGAATCTAGCAATTTTGAATCATGTTTCAAAGCGTTAATGCATACTTCCTGTGTTAATGATAAATCCAAGGACATGGAGAATAAACATTTCTTCCAGGATTTATTTGCATTGTAAAGACGTGATAGATTAATATCTTTAAATTGAGTTTTCTTAAGATCTTTCAATTTAGTAATTGACTTTACTACTTCTGGATAGTTGGCAAGATCTTTTTTCCAATCAGATAATAGTAATAAAACATTATTAAGCAATATAACCGCTTTCTGAAATTCTATTTCATTTGTTATACTTTGTTGGTTTACTTGCTTCATTGCATAGCTATATAAATAATTAAAAGTCAAATCACATTCCATTTTGTTCAACTTCTTTTGATATACTTTCATAGTTTCAAAGTTAAATTTTTTCTCTAAAATCTCTGGTACACTCTCGTTATTAATAATTTTACGAATAATCTCCACTTTGATAATGCTTTGTTCCTGTGTTTTTAATTCCGTATCTGCAATACTTAAGAAAAGTACATTTAAATTATCCCAAGCTTCATCATTAAGTCTAAAAGTATCAATTTCTCTTACAATAGTCATTATAATTTTTTTTTTATACAATGTAGTTTCATTGTTGTGGTTTACGCGATAATATTGTAGTAATTCTTCAATGTGTTGCATGTTATTTTTAGCGGAGTAGAGTAAAATTTCCATCATCATCATCCGTTCACATGGTGACGATTCTGTTTTAATTAATTTCACAATTTCCTTAAAAGCCGTTTTAAATTCTACATATTTATACCAACGATAACTATCTCTAGGGATTGCATGTAACATGAAATTATGTTCCTCCTCATTTATTTTATCAAAAACATTTCTTATTACAAATTGTGTACTCTCTTCTATTGGCATAGCCCCAAGAAATTCATCCAAAACATTCTCAGTAAACCAATACTGCAAATCACTATTTTTACAATCTTGTAATAATATGTTACTGATATCATCTGAATTCATAAATTTAACGAGGGTCTGTAGATGAATTTTTTTTGCATATTTTTCAAATCCATTTAAAACCCTTCGAGGTGCATTTTTCATTAGCATTTTAGTATATTTAGGACTAAACATAGGATATTCAAAATCTTCCAATGACTCCAGTATATCTAAATATTTTTCTAAATGATTATTCATTAGAAAAATAGTTTCTTTCATTATTCTTTGATTGTTACAATTCTTACGATTTGTGCTATTCAAATAAAGAATAAGAAATTTTATTGATTTTTCACAGAGACGTTTCATTATATCAACACTGATATCTGCTTTATAAGTTTTTACAGCATTTTCTATGAATATTGATGAACAGTTTGGTAGCCATTTAAGAGATTCTTTTAAATTAATATTCTTATAATGGTTAAAAAATTCTTCAACACGAGTTTCATTTCTCAAATTTAATCGTATATACAAAAGAAGCTTCTTTTTAGCCGTTGCAGTCATTTCAGGAAATAATTGGGTATCCAAATATTGTGGATTAATTATATGTGCATATTCCTCATTGTTAATTAACCAATTAATCTTTTTAATTACTTTAGACACATATAACATATCTTCACACTTCAAAACATCTAATACATAGTTTAAATCTTTCCTGCTACATGCTATATCAATTTTAAGCATGTTATTTACATCAGAATCATTGAAGTCAATAGGTGACAAAATTATTGGTGAATTCTTAATAGCAGTTATCAGTAACTCATTGTAATATTTATGTTTCTCGCCAAGATTATTCCCCTGAAGTTCTACTGGTGCCATTCTGATATACTGTAAACAAATAGAACCAGAATTTTAAAGCTTTCCTCTTCTATAGAGGATCTCTTGTATAATATGAGATAAAATATGGCTAGGTACTTTTGCCGTTTAGCAAGAATTAGTACTTACCAGAATATTATTCAATAAGATGTCTTAAAAATCTATGACATAAATCTCGGTAGTTCTTGATAATATGGTGTGTCTCGTTGGTAATGACCAAATGTAATTCTCATGACAATTACGGCTTGTACTAGTCATTATCAACCTGCCCTTATCTCTATCAGCCGTCATATCAGAATTCACTCCTTTCTTACACATATCCTCTTTCACACAATCCAATAATATCTATTAGTTGAAATTTTTTTGCGATTTTTAACATTAATTGACAGCTCATTTTGCGCCGATGTGTTTTCGTAATCCTTTACCTTATTCAAAAATAATTTTGTACAATGACGTCGCCGGTATATCTAATAATCCTTTTACAACGATTCTCTGCTGCACACTATTAAAATGATGATGAAAATGGTGGAAAAGACTTTGCATATTGAAAGAATGAAAAATTTAATAAAATGGCGAGTGTTAACATTAATTTTAAGAAAATCCAGCGTGATTCGTTTTCGTAAAGTATTACTAAATGGTGTAATAGTAGTATCAACAAAGAACTAGGAAATAAAAAAAATAAAAAAGCAATGAACAGGAAAGTATACTCACGTTTAGTATCAGGCGCTTTTCAATCTGAAATTAGTTACTGGTGTATGTATAGGAATTTAGAAATAGGATCGGCATATCGTATTATTGAAGGGGTGGCTATCATAATTATAGCTTCATAGTGAGTGACCTGTATAAAAACTTCTATTAAGGTAAATAAATCGATTCGGAGTTCGGACTTCGAACAGATAAGAATCAAATTAAATTGTTATTGAAATATTCATATGCTCTCGAAATATCGTTTGAGAGATACTCCAAAACAATTTTAGATTTCAGTGTAAATATGGCCCCACACTTCTTTTTTTTAACTTTCGCTAATGTTATTCGTTTGAGAGTTAATACTTTTTCTGTAAATGTATTTTAATATTGCAATCGAAATTACAAATCGATCTTAGAACTTATGGTATTCGGAAATAAGTTAACTAAGAAAGTCATCGTGACAGTGACAGCTGCATAGTTCAGTGTTGCTATTTTCATAACTTCGAAACTCCATGAAAATATGACGCATAATGTTACATGTAGTTTCTCTATAATAACCTCCTTAGCAAAAATGTGACTTTAAGATCATGTTTTTTGACACATATTTGTTCTGAATTATGTTCTCATCAGATATAGTTGTTTGAAGTTCTTAAATCTATGATATAAAATAAAATTTAAAAAAAAAAACCGAATAATTAACTAAAAATGTTAATAAAAGGAGTCCCTTTAGGCAAGGTCCCGAAGATAAATTTGTTTGAAGTTTATATTTATAATTGATGACATGATTTACATTAACATGCTTGTATGAAAAAAAAGCTTCTCTTGTTTTAGAAATAAAATTTAATCAGATAGTGTCAGTGAGTAGTCCAATCCTACTTACAATTAACAATCTGCTAAAAGTATTCAGTGATGTCTGATGGAAAATTAGAAAAAAAAATCGTAGTAATATAAACCAAACATTGATTTTACTTATGTCGATATTACTGGATTTGTGTAATAAAATACTTACATTCTAATGGAAATAAAGTGATAAAACAAATGACATATTGAATCAAATATTAAAAAAAAACAATAATTTTATTTTGTCTCAGGTATTATGATATTGTCAGTGAGCGAGACAACAGTATCGTTCAAATACAGGTGTTATCACAAATGAGATTCAGTGATGCATTATTTTACGTTTTGCCAACGTCCCTCACCATACTGTGTAGCAAAGTTCTTTAAAGCAACTTTCATAATCTACACAATTCAGTAGCAATATCGATGGAGAAGATAAAATATTTTAAACATCATGTTTCTTATTTCAATAACTAGGATTTGTGTAGGGTGAAATAGATTCTGCACGCGAATTAGGATAACATAAATTCAAGTTCATCACATGAGATGGTTAAGGGGAACAAGTTAAATCCCCGAGATATACCACCTGTTGACATTATTCTAAATTTTTACTGTTGATAGAGAAAGTCTATTAATATTTAGCATGGTGGAAATTAAGGTTAAATCTATCAAATCTATGACATTGCTACTGACTACCATGAATCTAGTTTAAAATTAAAACCATAAAAGAATTTGGTTTATATAAAATATGAATTTTTCATTTTATTTATATGTCATTTATTTCACCAGTTATTTAAATATTTAATTTTATTATTTGAAGTGACCACTGTACTCTCAATATAATTGTTTACAAGTCTTATTGCTGTATATTTAAGAATATACACTAATTATATAGTTTTATAACTAAAATCCTTATATACTAAGCACAACTGACAGTAACATCCCAATTTACATCTGTTGAAGACTGGATATTGTTGGCCATTATGCATACCTGTTGAAAATATATAATAATTTTATTTTAATAACACTTATTAGGTCTTTACATGTGATATTCACATATTGTCTGGTATACCTAGGTACAAAAAAGACAGAAACTAGGACTACCTGATGACCACAACTAGTCTGACAAGACTAAAACAATCAAGAAAAAGAATGGTAGTTGTTTAGTTAGTATATAATTTTTTTATGTTAATATATTCAATTAATCAAAATATATACAGTTGAACCTGGATTAGCAAGAAACCTCTATAAGCAAGAGATTGAGTTATTGAGTCATTGTATGCTCCCGATGGACAACCACCATATAAGAGCCAAGCTTAGATACATGTATAAGAGAGTAAAATAACATGGTTTCTTGAATTCTTGTTTATGCAGATTTTACTGTAATTTTTCCTTTTTATAGGTAGTGTATCCCTTAACTAAAAAAGAGGGTGGTAATCAAATAACCTCTAGATTGGAATGATTTTTTCTCTGGAGTATATAGTGGATTAGTTTTAAAAAATTGATAACTTAATTTAATTAAGCAAAAGCAAAGATAAATAAAATTTAGCCAATAATACAAGCTACAAGGAGAAATCAGGAATAATTTCAGATAGTTTTCAACTTTATCTGGCCTAACAAAATTATTTCTTTATTTTCTAGCATGCTGAATGCTGACACAGTAATTTGTTTAAAGGTCACTAACAGAGGCCCTTGAGTAGTTTCATTACGAGAAATCGTTTCAAGTGTCTAGTTATGTAATCATGAAACACTGATCTCTTTACATGGATAGGTTGTTGCTTGGAAATGACGCCTATTGATATTATTGGCAGTATATTCTATCTCAAATAAGAACAAAATACCAAGGCTAATAACCTGTCTCTGTATAGAGATCAGTGCCTTCAAACCTGAGAGCATCAGAATGTGTAAATAACCAACCTAAAATTAATCCTCAGTAGTCGCCTCATCAGGTGTAGGCGTGTGCCAGGTGAGTCGTTCTTCATAGAACTGTATAACAACTTGTGGGCAACGGATATTAGCTTGTTTAGCGGGTACTAGATCTGCTTCATCTGTGCCTTGCCATTTCATCAGGAACATCAGCTCACCACTGCTGTCTGTCGCACCTGGTACCATTACAAGTAATTTATAGGTTATTGGTAACTGCATGTGATAAAATAGCAAACTAATACTACTTTACCTTTAACCATAGGTTTCTGAGAGCAAAATCTCTGTATAAAATGACTTGCATGTCATTCTCATTTACAAATCAGAGATAACAATATGTTTTAAACTGATATTTTGGTTTCAGAAACTGACGGTAAGTCATTAATATCATTTGCAATATTTTCTTATTAAGTTTCGCTGCATGGATAAATTATTCTTTAGTCATGTGCTAACTTACTAATATTTAAACTTTGATGGTATATTAATTCGCATTGCAACACATACAAAGATCACTTAATATATAATATAAAACAAAAAATTCTAATCTTTTATTATTATAACAGTATATTCTAATGTGCAAGCTGCAGATATTTCAAAACGGAATTTATGAATACCTACCAATAATTTTTTCCGGATCTAAACCGCGATCAAATCCAGAAGCTTTTTTGTCATCAGGTTTTGTTTTTTTAGCTCCCTTTAAATCTGGAGTCGCTGCGGAAGACTTTCGTTTCTTTGGATCTTTCTCTATCTTATTTATTTTACCCTCTGGAAATAAAATAAGAGTTAGAATGAGAATTAAATAATTTTGGTTCAACAGACAGACAATCTATATGTATGTCATTGTTGTATATCTAATTGTGGATTTCCGAGACAAAAAACACTGTTTGAAGCACATTGTTATCTCTTTTGTGTCAAAGATTATTACGGCAAAGATATGTTTTACGCAGATTTTCGTCTCAGAAACCAACCAATAGCTGAACTCGCTTTTTAGCCCATTACTGTACGATTATTATTATGTACCCATAATTATTATGCTATCAGTGTTAATTAATAAACATACGGACCAGCTTCCTTCTTTTTCCTTGCTTCTTCAAAGGCTTGTATAAGATCGGGACAGTCAAGATTTTCTTCAGGTTCCCATGTGTTGTCCTCATCATTGTATCCTTTCCATTTTAAAAAATATTCTACCTGAAAGATTATTTCATTTACAGTTTTTCTTAAAAATTATAATTTTTTCATACAAAAGTGAACTCGGGCAGTGAATTAGTGCAGTTTTTAAAGATAATTTTAACAAAAGAAGATTGTTGATCTTAACATCATATTGGCGGTGATTTAAATAAAAATTGTTTGCTTTCTTTCTACATAGAAATTATGAGAAAAATATGCATGTGTATAAATATTTTCACTGCTGTTCATGTTATATATAAAAATATATATTATACTTTTCCGTTCCTAATTCTTCGGTCTAAAACCTTCTCCACCGAATATTCATCTTCCACTTCTACTTCTCCCTCTTTCTTCTTTTCTGCCATCTGGAAATATTTATAGTAAGTTTAATACAGTTTACTTAAAGCACTGGATAAAAACTTGTTTATTGTATTTTCTTAACAAAAGTAAATAATAACAAGTAAAAATGTTACGATTAATCTCGTCAAAAGTTTGTATTAACACATTGTGGTAATGTTAATGTCCGTTTTATTCAAAATTAATTAGTATTCGCAGTTTTGCTTGGTTTTGATTAAATTTCAAGATAGTATGAAAGTAATCACAAACCTGTTGTATTTATCACATACTGTATTATCATACAACAATGTTATTATTAAATTATTTAGTAACGAGTATATTTAAATACATGCCTCAATATTCTAGCCTGCTACACACTAAACTTTTACAGAATTTAATGCATAAAAAGGTTTTACCCGCCATTTTGATTGTAACAATACAATGCCTAAAAGTAAGGAAAGATGACTAAATTTTCAACAGGCTTCGACCTAAATAGCTATCGTCACAGTAGTTTCAATTGTATTGATAAAGTACAGTAATTGTATATAAATAAAATTAATTACCTTCAATAAACCACACAAAACAAGAACAAAAAATCAACAAACCGGCGCGATGCGTTGCGGTTGCGTTGTCGCGAGTTGCCAAAAGCCTGTCAAAGAGTACTAATGTCATTTGACTTTAATTTCAAAGACTAAATAAATGAATGACAGAAGGAAGTTATAGCAAAGAGTATATAAAATATGGTTATAGTCCCACACATATTTTATATACTCTTTGGTCCCACAAGGATCACAAGGCCAGGGAAAATATATGAACTAACAATGTTATCCTGACAACGTCATATTTTGACCAATAAAGGAGCGGTAGCTGCACAGTTTAATCTTGCTTTTTCCAAAATTACGAAATCGAATCATCAACGAATCACTTTTCTAATTTGGATGTATCAATTTTATTTATAAGATATTTCTACGAAATTCTAGGTCACAAGTTACAGATCAATTGCTTGGAGTTGCAATACAAAAGTCAACCCTGTTTTTCGGTTATGTAGAGGCTTTTCAGACAAAATTACAGATGCTTTCACTTGTCGTCCACCTGTGATAGGATTTACAATGACGAGTTGCTGTCTGAAGACGACGGTCAGCTCTGTGATGACCTGAGACACAGAGAGCTGGTGTTTACTGTTGATACCCACAGAGTTTAAAACTCTTGGAAAATGCAACTATCTCATTTATTTCTTCCAGTATATGTATAAGTATTAAACTGCGTCATTTTTATTTTATTTAAAATTAAGGCATTCTAGAAGTTTTGTTCTATTTCCCCATATTATCTTTCTTTATTGTAACTTTCTTTTACAAAATAAATACATATTATCATGTTCCAACTTGAATTATTCATTTAATTAATTTATTTTATTCTGTCGTTCAGAAGTTTACAAAAGCATGTTGTCATTATTTCAACAGTTGTTTAAGCGTTTGAAATAAAAATATTGTATAACTTATTAGATTTTTATTTTTTTAATCTTAAGAATAGCGGTTGCTATACACAGGTCACGTTGAACTTATATACAGTAAAAACATTTTTTTTTAGTTTTTTATATAGTTTTGTATAAAAATACATCAGGCAGTTTAGAAGCCGGGATCAGAGGTAGTGGGGGTTCAGTGCCAGCCGTGTCCGTGGTTCCAGGGTCCCTCCTCGGGCGCCGCGGCGGCCGCGTGCGCGGCGGCAGCGTACTGCGAAAGGTGAGCGGCGCGCGCGTGCTGCACCTCAGGGGTGTCTACGACGTATTGTCCATCGTGAGTGAGCTGGATGTTGGCTGGGGGGCCGGTCCACTTGCCGTAACCAGCGGCGTAGCCAGCTCCGTGAGCGAGGGGCGCGGCGTAAGACAGAGGTGCAACAGCGCCGGCGTGGGCGCCATGGGCGGCGTTGGCGTGGGCAGCGGCATGGGCGGCGATGTGTGCGGCCTTCAGATGAGCTACCTCGGGGGTGTCAACCACGCGACCGTCATGGGCCAGGGGAGCGGGGCCATATTTGAAGAGACCTGTAGAAAAAAAAATATGTTTAGCATCACAATAACTACAATCGTTATTAAGGGATAATAGATATTATGTAAAAGGTGCAGTACATACCAGCACCGGGGGCACCGTAGTGAGCGCCGGCGGCGTATGCGGGAGCGCCGAGGTAGCCAGCAGCGGGGGCCCACGCGCCGTGGGAAGTGGAGGCTTGTGCGTGCGCGGCGTAGTGGGCGGCTTTAGCGTGGGCTACCTCGGGCGTGTCCAGCACATATTTGCCGTCGGGGCTCAGCTGAATTGGTGCCGGTGCACCGGCGTAGAACGATGCTTGTGCGACGCACAGAGCTGCGGCTAGGATAATCTGTGGAAATTTAAAATATTTTTATATTTTATCTACATCATTCTTATTCATATATTGTCTAACATTAAAATTTGACAAGGTGGCATAGTATGTTCAAAAAAAAATGATCTATACGTACTTCTAAATAATACTGAGATATTCTTAGTATTATAAAATTTAATAAAAATAGATAATTTCCTAGCGATCTGCCAAAACCAATCAAACGAATAGTAAATTCTTTTGGTGGTAATGAAAATTGTTATTGTATGTAAAAGTCGTTGACATACTTCTTAATTTAATAGACAGTACTTATTTTAGTGTTACCTTACATTTTAAATAATTCGATTCTACACGTATAATAGCTGTTTAAATCAATAATGTACCATAATGCTATGGACTGAACGAAGTTATAATTTTAAAAGTTTTAAAGTGATTCTTTAGTCTACAATGTAATAAAAATGAAAAAAGTTTGTAAGTTTATTTACTATGAAATGTGCAACATTAAATTATTTAACACGACGCAGTTAAATTACGTAAAGGTAAGCCCTTAACAAGAAATTGTGGTTTGTTACGTTTACGAATATTAACATTTTGCAACATGCTGTAGAGAACTGCTTGATATTAAATATGATTTCGGTTTAAAACCACGAAAACGATACAATCAATGTCATTAAATAATAAAGTCGGTTAAAATCTCACACTTCGCAGTGCGCGATCTAATACTAAATTATGCAATTCGTTTTAATTTGTTTATGTCCGACGTTTATACGAATCTCATTTGTGTTATGTTATTCCAATAAGAGTGTGATACCGCTAATAAGTTTTTTTAATAAACAGTTATGAGATGTTAAATATAGTTGTTGTTTGAATCAGAATCGTACTTGCTTGATTGATATGTTCATCAAACATTTGAAATATGATATCAAATAATTTGACAAACATGTAAAAATATAACATAAAGATTTGACAGTTTTCTTGACAATTAGGAAATAATCTTTCTAATCTTACGAATACTATAAATGCGATATAAGTTTGCTCCCTAACTCAACGGATCTCTCTGAAATTTTTCGTAAATGTAGAACATATTCTGAAAGAACACATAAGCTACAATTATTTTTAATATCGTAGGCAGAAGCTAATTAAGAAGCGGGCAAAAGGTAATTTACAGCCATATGCAATAACATGTACTAAACAGGTGGCACGAATAGAAGCAATCAGTTAAAATAAGGGTAACGTATGTCAGGTGAGCGTTGCAGCAAATAACCTGTCATTTTGTATTACAATTGATAGTTGTGTCGATCAATAGACAAAGCATTGCAACAACAATTTAATGTAGATTTGAAAAGGAACATTAGCTACAGTTACGAAATATGTTCATAACTAACATACACCTCGCCTTAACAATTTATAGACTCAATTTAAGACTATTATTTATAAATTTTCTATTTAAATTATAAATAGTAGTACAGTTTTGTATATACGCAATCAAGTTATTAGTTTTTGGGACTTTATAACCAAATTTGAGATGTTAAAACATGTGTTTTTTTGCTAATTAAACCTAGATGAATGTATTCACGTTTAATTGCTTGTCCATGAAATGTCTTTAACATTGAAGTTGTTTAATCTACTATGGCACTCGGATATTAAAGACTACTTAATGATTACTTAAGCAATCCTTAAATGTAGTCTCATGCTAACTGTAAATGAAATGCACCTTAATGATCATTGTATTTTCTAAAAGTTATGTTGGAGGCACAACAATTCCAGGGCGTGGTTGACATCGACTCGCCTATGGAGTGAGTTGCAAAACGTTTAGCAATAGTGAAATTATAATTCTGCGAACTGGTGCAAAACCACTTGACTGTTGCACGGCTCTTGCCCAAGAGGAAGGTGTTAGGAAGTTGTAATACGCGAAGGTCAAATGAAAAATTGTACGGACAGTGGATATAGAAATTTTATGACAGCTTGCATAATCTATGTGTTACAAATATTGTTTTTTATACTATTATAATACACGAACGTAATGTTTAAAAATGTTTGTGTTCGTAAGTCATATTTATAATATTGCTCTTTATCAAAATTAAATTAAATTTGCATTTTTGCAAAATTACATCAAAAATGAATTTTCCCAAGATTGTCCTCCAAATGTTTAAAACATATATTTTATAACTGGCACAAAACAGATTTTGTTTTTTTTTCGATATTTGCCTCAACTATGATAATTTCGCAGGCACCAGCTAGAGTATAATCAATAAATTATTAACTGATGAGTCAATTTAGCGTATAAATGTTTTTCCGCCCACTGAAAAGGATTCTAATTCAAGATGCGTGTCACGTCCGCCCATTCACTGTTACACGATTACATTATCATTGATATAGGAATTTAAACAATTCCTCGTTCTTCTATTGTCTCATAAAACAACATTGAGAAAAGTAAAAAAAAACAACAACAAACATTTAATTACTTATAAAACAAATCTTGTATTTAAAGAAATGTATGTTTAATACTTACTTTTTATTTCAGATTTTTATCGCGGTGTAAATCAACATAGACAAAAGTAAGTGCCTTTAAGTAACTATCTATTTAAAAAATATAAAGCGAACGTTATAAAAACTGATGGAACTTACACGATAAAGTTTCCAAGTTCTTTTACATTTAAGCATTGGCACTTTAAAGGAATTGAAGTTCATTTTGACATTGGTTAAATGCATTTGTAACTAAGAGATTAATTAGCATATCTGTAAATACTTTTGACAATCTGTGGGCGATAGAAACTGCATACACCATTGTTCTTATTAACAAGATAGACCTTGGAATAAAATTAAGCTGGATCTGTCACGATGTTAAAGGGCTTTTTTGGATATTGTAAAAAATTCGATAGTTTAGTTTAGTGAAGACTTAGGTTTATATTCAATAAATTCCTATTAATCCTTTAGACGGTGCCATTTTGACAGATTTTATTGATTGTTAAATATACGTTTAAAGTTGCTGTGATAATATTATGCAAATAAACTTCGGGGTCTCTATAATTTTCGTAATGGCTTAGTTAATTTACCGGCTGTGAAATTTATGCTATTTTCACTTGCAAGTGTTACTACGTTTTTGAAAAAGTTGAATTTAAATTTAATTATTGTTAATACTAACGGTCGCCCACAACTTTATCAGATACACAGACAGAGAGGCAAGAATTATAAAAAATGATTTTTCATTATTAGCAACTATGTACTAAATATGATTTAATTTTTGATATTACATACAGACACTCCGATTTTATTTATATATATAGAATATTCTTATATGCTATGTTATAAAATCGATGTA